ATTTCTTTGCCTCCTATTTTTTTGCATTCAGTTTTTCCTGGTCCTCATCACTATCTAGTCTTAGTTTAAAACTTCCCTTACACTTACAGCTGAGTTAATAGCCGTAGCAAACAAGCCAGCCCTTATCTTATTTAAGCTCCCTTCTCCCACGGACCTGATCCCACAAGTCCAACCAGCCAATCTGCTCATCTTTACATACTAACCTAAGCCTAGCATTTAGCCCTAATGACCTACTTATAACTTCATCCCCACAGTTAATTCTGGGCAGTCTCCCTGACAAAATTAAGCTATAGCCTTTTTCTTTAAACATCTTTATCAACACCTTGTACTTACTAATTAGCTCCTCTGACCCACCTTTTGAACCCTACATTATTAGCCCCTACATGCACCACAAAAACTGCATCTCTGCTAGCCCCCTTTATCATATCTCCTGCTCTGTTAGTTATATCCTCCACCTGTGCCCCTGGGTAGCAGAATCTGATTCTTTCTTCCTATTTACCCCATAGACTATCCTATCCACATGCCTTGTCAAGAAATCACCTATAACTTTCTTCATCTGTGCAGTCTGGGTCAAACATGTGCCAGTGGTTATGAAAGAAATTTTTGCAATTTCTTTTTAATATAACGTACTCAACCCTCTGTAGTACCTCCATTTCATTTTTCCAAACTTAATCATTTACTTTTTTGATTATATAAATGTTTGACATGTTTAACAAATAACAGCAACAATTTTACCCACTAGATTTTTAATGGAAGTACAGACTGTTAGAGTTCTCCAGGCATTGGAAGCTAGACAAACACAAAGCCAATATCAACTTTTCATATCTCCAGGTCAATAGTGGAAATTTTGGGAATATGTCATCAAACAACTAGTGTATATGTGTGCTAGCAGCATAGGAAAGATTAACTATGCATGTAATAATGGCAGCTGTCATTACAGCATGGTCATTATAAATATCAGCCCATTGCTTAGGGACATAGTATTAAATAAATTCACAACAGCAACTGGAGTGATAATATTACAGTACACAACGTCTGTCAGCAGTCCCACTTACAATACAAAATATCTATTGAAGCCAAACAGATTACCATGCAGCACCATAAGTTTGAATTTTAATTTTAATTACTAAAATTAATTCATACTGTCTTAGATGAGTTAATTTTCATATCTCTGTCAATGGTAGACTAATTTGTGTTGAGAGAGCCACAGATAAATCATGAACTTAATACATCACCACCACTCAACAAAAAAGTTTCAGTGGCATTTCATATTTAGTAACAGGAAGCATCAGAATTAATGGAACTAGATAATTCATTGTTTAATACTCAACCACATAAGTAACATGGTATTTAGCCTAATTGTTTGCTCTTTTTTGTGTGCAACTGAACCAAGCTTCATTCTAATACAGGATAATGCCTTGTAAGATACTTCCATACAAGTCATGAAATATAACCAGCAAGATGTATTGATCAGAATATCATAGATCACCTATGTGACATGCCAATGTACCACTCAATACCACTGCTTTGACTCAGGAAAGAAATAGGATTACCTATAATATCATAAACAGGCTAATTAGAAAAATACCATGTGATTCATTTAGATAAGTTGGTTTACAGTCAGACTCTAACTTAGATAACTCACCTTTACAATTCCAGTGGTAATCATGTAAATTCCTTCAGAATAAGAGCCTTTCTGATATATATTACTTCCTAACTCAAATGATTGATACAAAAGAAATACCTAAAAAAACAAATATGTACAATGTATATATATATAGATACAGTTATACAATATATACATCTTTATCTTACACAAATTATGGAGTTTAATTTATATATTGCATTCTGAAAATACTTAAATCTAAATTATTATTACTATAATAATATAATAATAATATTTTGTTCTTTTATATTCTTTTATTTTAAATTACATTGACATATTATTTTCTGCAACTAGAAACACAAAGACCAAAATATTAAATATAAATAACTGAGACAGAATTTTTTACAATGATTATTAATAAAAGTGCAACAATATATACAGAGCTAATATCCTGTCAATAGGCTGTCATTATTTTGATTTAAGTGCAAATCAATGACTGAAACATTATATGTAAAACCAAAGCACTTTCCTGTGAACTCATTTTTTAAATGATCAGTATGATAAATCATAATATTAAGAAGTTACACACGAGTCAACTTAGCTTTTATTCATGTCTTGAGGGAATCATTAAAAATAGCCATGAGTGTGTATAGATATGTACACTCTCCTAAAGCTCTGTTTGGAGCAATTCACACAAGATTTGCTTTGTGAACATTTATGAAAGTTGTTGTTACAAGCCAAATGAACAATCATTGGCCAGACTGTGATTTGATGTGAAGAACTTGAGGGGAAGGATTCTGTGGCACTCATAGGGCATTGAAACTTGAGATTTGGTGCACTATGGTAGCCTTTTTCTCTTCTTCAATTCTGTATAGAAGTTATTTCAAATTTGTTTGATTGGATTTTTATCCAGAAAAATATTTTTCTTTTCTTAGATGTGACTGTTCAGCCTATTTCTTGTTATTTGTATATCACTCCAGAACTAAAGAACAGAGTGGTCAGCTGCAACAGAAACATTTTCAGCACAAAACAATTTTGTTGTGATTCCTATGCTGTAAAAAAAAAAAGATGGTTGTTATGAGGGTTTAAAATGCTTTTTTTATCTTGTCCTTCAGTCAAACCAATTTCTTCAGTTCTATCTGCAACCAAGTGATCTTACCTAGTTTTACTGTTGGCAACCAAGTGATCCCACCTAGATTTACTGTTGGCCAAATACACATTGGAATCCCACATCCAGCTCATTGAAGAATTTTGTTAATGAAGGATGTTTTAGATGATTTTTCGGGAATTTCATTAATTAGAACCATGCTTAGTCAGTCTGTTTACTATTTTATTAGAATATTTTTGCTAGTATACCTTCAGGATTAAGTTTCATTACTCTCATCACTATTATTTCATGATTATAGTATGTAAAGAAGAAACAGCTCTGTGGTCACATTTTGTGATAAAAGGTAAAATCCCATTACAACATACACATGCTTCTTGGGTTTTGAATGTACTTTGAATGGTACCTTCTTTACCTTTGAATGTACTTTCATGCAATGAAAAATTAAAAGTATGTGAGTATTGAATAAATTACACTACTTTATTATCAGCCTCTGATTATTTAAAATTAACAAATCAATACTATATTTTGTTTTTAATTGCAACCTTTATTATAGTATTTCTAAATTAACATAATTTTTTAATATAACTACTAAAAGAGACCCTACTGATAAAAAACTGCACAATTCATCACTTGTAATCCAGTCTATTCTTTGTAGTTGCTCTCCTGGTCTTACACTTGCAGCTATACTTTTTGGAGCATGATCAAGACTTCTTAGAAGCTTGAATATTTCCTGAATGGGAGATAATTTATCTATTCATATTAACAATTTCTTAGGCTAAGTTCAGAAAGTTTCACATTTTCAATTTAAGCAGAGAGTACTATAAAGTGCTATTACTATTAACTTTAGATAGGTGAATAGTTTTTCATGACTTAATTGTTTAGACAGAATGTTTCAAACTGCTAATGCAAATACTGTGTAGGAAGTTTATAGAGGAGCTTTATAACTGAAAATAAACATAGTCATGAATGAGAAATGAAGATCATTGGAATAAGTAGAATTGAAAGTTGATGCAAAAGTGGATTGAAACAGTGTTTAAAGTGGCTGGATGGCAGAACAATGTTTAATAGTTTCAGTTCCTTCATCCCTATACAGTTAAAGATGCAGTTCCATGAATATGGAATGATTTCTTCTTTTTTCATATTTTTCAATCTGGAGCTTTGTCAAGAGTAGAAGCAGATATTCTGTTATTCTGATGGACTGAGGTCGTGACATATTCAATTATGGTGCTGTACCAGATTTCATTAGTCTGATCTGACTTCTGTGTTCATTGATCCTGGTCTGTAGAAGTCTGCCTGCTTCTCCAATGTAGGATTTGTCACAAGTGCAATTGATTATATACACTGGGATATTTGGGTGATCTGTGTTGGAGAATTTTTATTTAAGGATATGGATATAAAGACATTATAGAAGTTAAATTTGGAAACAATACCATTGTGAGCATCTACATTCCACTATTTAATTCCTCTATGACCTTCCTAAACTGACCCAGCAAACCATGCACTGGCAGTTAAAAACAGTATCCAAACAACTGCAGGTGGGTGAAACTTGATTAATTAAATGTGTTCTAAATGAGTCATTACTCATAATATAAAACGTTTTTTTTAAAATAAAATCTGAGATCTTTATGGGCCACTTTCCATCATTCATTTTAATAAGTTGCACTACTCATTGACAAATTGGCTTGATGCTCCATTCACCTGACATTTTTACTTAAAAACATAGTCATGTACATATTTCTTAGAAGCCTATGTCCAAATCTCACAACATTTCTTCCACATAACTGAAGCTGAAACATTTTAACCAACACATCCATAGAACTTTTCATTGCTCACAACCAAAATGTAGAACAGAACAAAAAATTTTTAAAACACATTGTTTCTAAAGAAGAATTCCAAAAAATATTCACTTTACTTTCCTAACCAATTTTTTTCAGAACTTCAGATATTATACTAATACTTCCCATGTAAAGAAATTTCTGCTAGAGAAGAAGTTGACCATAAATCAAATGAACCTACCAGAACTGCTACCCTTTTTTCCTTAGCAATTGAATAGCTGAGAAATTATAACACCAACCTGCTACTATTTAAAAAAAACCTAGACACAATCGGTTTCAAGTTTGATAACTTGTCAATAGAAGAAAAACATATTCTCAGGAAACATTAATTCACATTCTCCTAGATTACAGCTATTTAAGTTCAGTGATACTCCTTTATTAAAAAAATAAAATAAACTTTTGAAAAGACAATACCACTAGCTTACTACAAAACAACAGTAAACAGTTTATTGTCACAGTATTCTAGATAAGGTTACAACTTTTCCAATATATTCATTGACATTATTCTTGTATGGTTATCCAAAAATATATGAGTTCAACTTTACTTTAAGTCATGCTAGAGGATCATATGCCACATCACCCTAGTTCTCTGTGTAGGTTGTCTTTAAAAACTAATCAGTTACGAATTAGTGAATTTCCTTCATGGTTAATGTGATTTGAATTTGTGAAAAAACTTTCATGCATTTAATAATTATCGATCCTTATTAATTTAAATTTATGTGCAAAATGATTGTAATATTATCATCTTACTACGTGCATGAAAAAATAATAAAAAGGAGTACAAATCTAGTTGACTCAACTATCAATTCACATAAAACACTACTTCTCAGTAAATATTTCTAGATTTCAAGTAGTTTCAAAGTCAACATTAAGATAATTGAATTTTAATGAAAGCTCTTTTGATCAAGAAATGCCCAACTACTCTAAATATCGGTGTTCTTGAATTATTCTTGTATCCAAAATTTTATCTTTTGCATTTTTTATTTAATTAACTTGAACGTGCTTTTTTATAAAATCAAGATAATGTTTTCATTTTATCCTTCCTTAATGACCTTGAAAAATACTGCAAATTAATCATTACCTTCTAAGAAAATTACAAATACTTAAATCACATTTTCATAAAAAAAAAAAAACTGAGCATTACTGTACTTTTCCTCAACCTGGGAAAATAACTTTTAAGAGAGAATTCTCCATTAAGAGATCAGTCATAAGTTCTAAAAAACAGAAATGGTTTTACTATGATCATAAGGTTTTCTCTTTATTACAACTAAGATATTTTAAACTCTTTGGTGTGTGTGTGTGTGTAATTATATACAACTATCAATAATTATTGCTTTTGCTATAATTTACTATTCAACAAGCAATGTTTATTTCTTATCATCTTCTTTTTTTTTACTTTTGTAGCAATTAGTTATGAGTTTCTACTATGTTTACAGGCATGATAAATCATGTAAGAAAAATTATAACTTACATCCTCCAAAATTTCAAAATCCTTTTCATCAATCAAGCCTTTACTCTGAAGTTCATGAGCTCCATGCTTTAAGTCATTAAGTATCCTCCTTGTTGCATGCCGTGTTTTGGCAGCGACAGCAATTTCGGGATAACTCCCTTGCATCTTAACCAATGCTTTCATAATCTATCATTATAAGGAAATATTACTCACATATACATGAATCATTCTAAGAAAACATAGATGCATGATAATAAAAACTTATTGGAAAAGTGAAATAAATTATCAGTGAACTGGATAAAAAAAAAGAACACACTGTACAGATATAACAGGCAGTGAGAAATAAGTGAACAAACAAAACATAATTAATGCATATTTCTATCAACAGAATTAACACTTCTTTACGATATTACACAGCATGTAATTTTGCTACTATTCATGACGTTGTTCAACAAATGTCCTAACATTGATATGTAGTATTATCAAAAAATGTTCTATTCCCCTAATCTTCCTTTTATCTTCTGTTACCCCTTAGGTTTAATGGATATACTAAACTCTGCAATAGAAATTTTTGTTTGTTTTGTGTTTTAGTGTAAAATGACATAATCAGCTATCTATATTGTGCCAAACATGAGTCAAAACCCAATATTTTACCATTCAAGCCCTCAAGCTTACTATTGAGTCACTAAAGAGATAATAATTTTTGAATTCAACATTATTGCAATTTTATATATGTATAAAAATTACTGTGTATAATAATTATACTCACTACTACAAATTAGAAATATTTTATAATATATGACAACTAAACATATACTATTTCTGACACTTACTGTTAAACGATTTCTATCACACATTTCTCTAACTTCATTGACAATTGGTGCAAAGTCCACGAGTTCGTTGATTTTTTTCTTTACCTGATCTTCAGCAACAACAAAACCTTGTCCAATATCATAACCCGCATAAAGCTGAGCATTGACTTGATCATTGACCATCATAACTATCTTTTTGAAAAATGGCTGAAAAATAAACAGACCAGTATCTTAGTGATGCAAAAGTAATAATATAAATCAGATGCCCTTTTAATTTCAGTCATATTTCAATTATGTTTGAAAATCATTTACCAAACCAGTTAAAAACCTAGATTGTGAAGTTATATTTCTTAGCTATTGCTTCTTCATACATGGAGTTAATACTGATATGACAGTTCTCCAAAATAAGAAGGACAACGTGATGTAGCAGTAGCAGAAGTGCTGAAAATGTTTTTGTAGTTTTCTTTTATTAAGCTAATGTTTCAACTAAAGTTCTAATAGATGATTTAAAAATTTATCATGCTTTAAACATTACAAAAATATTGACAGAAATCTATTAGTGAAATTGTCATATTGATTACACAGGCCTGTGATGGTTTTGTCTTGATTTTTCACCTAAATGTCATATGTACTTTTACATAAGTAAATCATTTTCATTGAAATTGGGTCACACTTTATTATGCTTAAAATGTTGACAACTACTGGCTATAGATTTCTCTATACCAATCACAATGTGAGAGTCTTATTGATCATTCTAGAACCCATGAGAAACACACCAATAGTAAATAAACGGTTAACAGGCCACTTGATGTGTCATTTCTGGATAGTATTTGCTTGTACGTGCACTTTGACATTATTTTTTCTTTTCAATATTATTTATTCATCGCTATGGCAACAAGAGGTTGTGTAAATGACCGAAACATATTCTGTTATATTTGTGGGAAATTTATTGTAAAGAAACAAAGGCAAAATGTTACAGAATTCGTCAAAAAAGTATTCACTTATCGAGCTTAGTGGAGTGCGTTGGCAACCTAAATTTTGCAAAATACATCGAAATATTGGAGGAAGGACTCTTGCCACTTTATTCCTCGGGTTTTATGGACAAGAACACAACGTTGTTCCAG